TAAAAAGGCCACAACAAATTTCTTCATCACCAAGTTCGAAAAATTAGAAAATCACTTTCAGAACAAGAATAGATGGGAAGTAAAGGAAAGTGAAAGAAAGAGAGTCATGCAAAGACCTGAGGGTAAGGGGACAGAACTCTATAATAAAGTAAACATCCATAAACAAAAGAGAATACTCAAAAACTGCCACAACAGATAACCAATCTAGGAAGATTTTCATGATTGAACGGCTGCCACCTGGTAATTAGTTTTTTATACAATTCTGATGTCCATATTCAACAGTTAATAGTCATTTTGAGAATTTATTACATTTCAACATCTCATCCTACAGAATTTAAGCATGCTTTTTGGCCATTAGAAGAATGTAAAGCCAATTGACACAGTATAATCAAGATTCACAACAACCAGATGTACCTAGGGTCCAAAGGAAGAAAGGAAAGTAACCTCGAAGATTTGCCCACACAGAATACTCATAAATAGCAGTGTTCAATTGTTCATCTCCATTGGATTCTATCCTTGCAACAATACTGTTGATGACAGTGCCTTCACCATTCAAAATATTAACAATTATGCCATCAGGCAGTTGATATGTACTATTAGATGGGCCTGACTCAACGTTGACTTGTCCTCTAAGAAGATACTTCTCTCCTTTCAGATAGATAGGCTGCAAAATACCACAATGAGTGTTGCAAAAGTCCATTGATAAATTAAACGAAATTATTCTACCATTAACTACTAGAAAGAAACCAGGGAAAATATAGAAAAACTATACCGATGATTTGAACATGTCAATCTTCATTGAAGAGCACCCATAGAAAATATATGAATTAACAAAATCAAGTTCATGCAAACCAGGAGATCCAACACAAACATATTGGGAATCTTTCTGCAATTTGCATAATACAAGGGGTGAATTTCACATGGTAATATAAAATAGTAACCAGATGCTGTATTCAAGTTTTGACTGGGGAGTTATAAAGAACAGAGACTACATTGATTTTCAAATCAACAGGTGAGCTGTCTGGATGAGTCATGTACGCATCTAGATCATGGGGGGAGAGAATAATGATCCAGTATCTCTTCTGAACAAATTCAATTCCTTTAACATCCTTTGCCCCAACATTAACGTCAAAAAAGTTTTTGCTTCCAACACCAGTCAGATATAGCCTCCGAAGATGTGTGTTTAACCTTGAAAGATGAATATCAACATGTTAAAAAAAGAACAAAAAAAAGGCATGAAAATTCAGCAAGTATTGAGAAAATTGAACAGCACACAACTGAAGGAAGGAAAAAAAAAAAAAAAAAAAAAAGGTATTTAGAAATCAATGAGCAAGCACAGTGCCTCAACCCTGTACTTTCCTGGGAAAACATCAGAAAAGA